GAAGTTTTATCACCCAGATTGGAAAACCTTGAGCAGCCAACTAGTAACTAGATTTGATGAGAAATGGAAAGCGGTATTTTGCATGGCTCAATTGGATTTAACCAACCAATATTACGGATAAATGGGATATACAGGCATATGATGAGGATATGTTGGATATATAATGGGGTTGAATGGATATCATATTATGGGATTTCAACCAACCAATAACATCCAAGAACCTGTTTTTGAGGGATATAGTGGGATGCAACGGAGATATGAAACAAACTCAAAACGATATGCGGGTTCATGCCGTGTGTTTTTCCATTGTGGGACAAAAGGTGAACCGCATGTGAAACATCACATGAATTGGCGGCACAAAGACACATGGTCCCCAAGTTTCATGTTGTCTACAGAGGAAACATGATGAACTGAGTGGAACTAATCAAAAATTATGTATTGTGCGAAATGTAACTTGCCCAACATGGTAGCTTTGAAGAGCTGAACATCAAGTTTTATGAGGGGCGATCATTTACAGCACGTTGTTTATGACCAGATTTACAAGGTCAAGCAGGCGGCTGTGCAAAAGGTTGCGCTCATCGGCTCCACAACCTCCTACATGGCCAAGCTAGCGTCGACTGACGTTGGCTGGGCGCGCTGTCTCAAAGAGCGCCGCAGGATGAGTGCATGAGTGAACCTGCGGAAAGAGAAGCGGTCAACCTCTTAGATTTTGAAGCCGCGCTTTTGGCTGGTGACCCACACCAGTGCGTCGCTTAGCGACCGCAGCTCTCGCCCAACGCTGCATCATTGGCACAGCTCGGGCCGGTGCTGAAAGGCCCCTCCAATGGCATCCATGCCTCATTTGGCTGGAGAACCACCGTAACGTTGTTGGTCAAACAAAATCAAAGACCCTCCCAACAAAAACATGTTGCGGCATTTTTTCGGACACAGGCAATGGAAATAGTTCACTGATTGACAACTGGATGATATTCCCATATATTCACCCTTTTTCCCGAATGCGTAGCAAGGGTTCCCGTTTCACTCTGGGGGTCTGGGGGTTGAGGGTGTGTTCGCTAGACGTTGCGTTCACGGTCGCAACCGTTCGCAACCGTTCGCAACCGTTCGCAACCGTTCGCAACCGTTCGCGCGATCCCCGTATGGCCGTGCCTATGGTAAGTTCTGCAGAGGTGGTCATTTTTGGAGGTTTCAGATGTCTCGTTCCTTCGTTTCGCGTGGCAGGCGTGGCACTTCGTGACATTCAGACGTGTTTTGTAACGTGTCGAAAGTCGTTTTGTGTGGCACGCGCAATACTTTTGCGACGTTTTCAGAAGATGTGTTGCATTTTTCGTGGCAGGTGCAGCACTTTGGACGCGTCCATCGTCATTTTTCGTGGCAGGCGCAGCACTTTAGACGTGTCGTGTTGCGTGTTTTTTGTCAATCGCATTGGCAGGGCTGCGTCAAGTGGCGACAAGGTGCAAATTCCGTGGCAGGCGTGGCATTTTGTGCGATGTGCTGAAAATTGACGGAAGCCTCGCACGAAACATCGATTTTGAGGTTGCAAATTTTCAGGTTCTAAGGAAAACTCGTAAGAAAACGTCGATTTTGAAGCTACAAAGTGTGAAAATTGGAGGAAGTCTCGCACGAAATGCTCGTTTTGGTGCTCCCACCTGTCTCGTCTCGAGTCTCTGGTTTTCCTGTGGCCTCGCCGTGTCTATGGGGGAAGCTGCAAAACTTGTCCTTTTGTCATGTTGCCAACTGTGAAAATCGCCGGAAGTCTCGTACGAAATGATCGTTTTGGTGCTCCCACGTGTCTCGTCTCGAGTCTCTGGTTTTCCTGTGGGTTCGCCGTGTCTATGGGGGAAGCCGCAAAACCTCTCCTTTTGAAGGTTTCCAAGGAAGTTGTCATGTCGTTTTGCGTGGCAGGCGTGGCACTTTGTGACATTCCAACCTGTTTGATAATGTGTCAAAAATGTCAAAATTGGAGGAAGTCTCGCACAAAATGCTTGTTTTTCTGCATCCGCGTGTCTTGTCTCGAGTCGCTTGTTTTTCTGTGGCGTCGCCGTGTCTATGGGGGAAGCTGGAAAACCTGTCCTTTTCGAATGTTTCCAAGCAGGTTGTCATGTTGTTTTGCGTGGCAGACGTGGCACTTTTTGACATTCCAACCTGTTTGATAACGTGCCGAAAGTGTCTCTGGTTTTCTAGACACGTCCCCGTGTCTATGGGGGAAGCTGCAAAACATCTCCTTTTCGAAGGTTTCCAAGCAGGTTGTCATGTCGTTTTCCGTGCCAGGCGTGGCACTTTGTGACATTCCAACTTTACACTCTACACTCTAGACTTTACACTCCGCACTCCACGCTTTTACACTCCTCACTCCACACTTTACACTCCACTCTTCACTCTCCACACTCTACACTTTACACTCTACACTCTACACTCCAAACTTTACATTTTAAATTCCACACTTTACACTTTACACTTTAAACTCCTCACTCCACACTCCACACTCCACCTTCTACACTTTACACTCCACACTCCACACTCTACACTCCACACTCTACACTTTACACTCCACACTCCACACTCTACACTTTACAGTCTACACTTTACACTCTACACTTACTTTACACTTCACACTCCACACTCCACACTTTCCACTCCACACTCTACACTTTACATTTTTCACTCCACACTCCACACTGTACATTTTACACTCCTCACTCCACACTTTGCACTCCACACTCCACACTTTCCACTCTGCACTCTGCACTTTAAACTCTACACTGTACACTCCACACTTTACATTCTACACTCTACACTCCACACTTAACAGTTTACACTGTACACTCCTCACTCCACACTTTACACTTCTCACTCCACACTCCTTACTCTACACTCCACACTCCATACTTCACACTCCACACTTTACACTTTACACTCCACACTGTACACTTTCCACTCCACGCTCCACACTCTACACTTTCCACTCCACACTGCAGACTGGTAACAAGTGAAATATGTACAAGACTGTTCAAATAAACAATTGCAGGAAAGTGTTCTGCGTGACTGCATATCCATGTGTTTCGACATCTGTAGCATGAACATACGTGTGAGCATTCGGGTTCGTGGGCTGCATCTTGTTTAAGTTTCTATACCCATCTATACTGAGTTAATATGTAGGTTACAACTCCAAACAGTTACCCTCTGGTAATTTAACATAGCTATAGAAATTGGCCATTTATAGATGATTTACCTTGTATAAGTTGTGATTTTCAAATTCGCAAACTGTAAAATTTCCAGAGGGTAACCACATAACGAACCATGGCCGAAAGGATCGACCTCTATGAAAAGACCCTGGCAGCCAAGGGCATCAAAGGTGCGATTTCCGTGGGAGGGTGAAATTTCTCTCAACCTGGGTGAAGAAAAATGATGAAATCAATGAAAAATGTATATTATTTGTTTTCCCGATCATCACGATCCTCATCCTGATCCTGAGCCTCATCCTGATCATGATCACGATCATGATCACGATCATGATCATCATCATCATCATCACCATCATCATCATCATCACCCATGGATGGCTAAGGAACACTGGCTAAGAAACAATGTTCATAACATACGTTTGTTTTTTAAATGCATGGGGGTTTTCCCCATGGATCAGCAATAAGGACGCAATCAATGATAAACGGACACCCATGGTTTCCCGTCCGGAAATTCTTTACATTCCTGGCTGATTTTCTACATCTATGTAAAAGTTTACCCTCGGGCTCTAGGGTAGTCAATGAACAACTTTTTTTAGTGGTTTCCTAAAATGGGGGTGCCCCTAAATCATCCATTTTTGTTTGGGATTTTCCATGATAAACTGGCTGGTGGTTTCAAAATGTTTCGAACATATCTTATTTTCAATAATATATGGGACAATCCTTCCCATTCACTCTATGGTGAGTTTCTGTTGACTTTGCAACCATAACTTGATTTGTAGAAACCCCTATAGAAAATAAACAGCCTGAAAAATCTTTTGGGGCGATGCTAAAACCATCAAACCTTGCAATATCACAAAACAAAATGAGGAGTTGACGAAGGATAACTGGCCATCATCATCACCGGACATTATATCTTAGCAAATTGCAGACAGCAAACATGTAGGCTAATTACCCATGTCATTCCTTTCCCGTATCATCTCTACACAAATAGCGATGTGTTCGCAAAAAAAACGCGGAAAATGGTCGGAGATTTTGATGAAATTTGCACGAGTAGTAGCAGTAGCAGCAGCAGTAGCAGCAGTAGTAGTATGAAAAGAAATTGTAGTGAGATGTAGGATTGGACGAACACTTTTTCGAGCCTTTTGTGCTAGAAACGTGCCAAAAAGTCTTCGTTCCGGCGGTTCCTATGAACTGCTCGGTTTCGGTTCCGGTTCGGTTCCACGGCCTTCCTGTACATATATCATCATATATCCCCAATGCTCCATGGTGCTGGTATATTTACCTACAAAACTGGGTGGTTTATGGGGTAAATGTTGGGATACGACGCGTCAACATGCCAAAACGACCGTCGACATGCCAAAAGGGTTGTCCCCGTCAACATGCCAAAACAAGATTGTCTCCGTCCACATGCAAAAAAGATTGTCTCCGTCGACATGCCAAACAAGATGGTCTGACATGCAAAAAAGATTGCCTCCGTCGACATGCAAAAAAATGTTCCCGTCGACATGCCAAAGGAGATTGTCTCCGTTGACATGCCAAAAGGGTTGTCCCCGTCGATATGCCAAAACAAGATTGTCTCCGTCGACATGCAAAAAAGATTGTCTCCGTCGACATGCCAAACAAGATTGTCGCCGTCGACATGCAAAAAAGATTGTTCCCGTCGACATGCAAAAAAACAATTCTCCGTCGACATGCCAAAGAAGACTGTCTCCGTCGATATGCCAACAGAGTGGTCGTCGATATGCCAAAACGATGGTGTCTGCCGACATGCCAAAATCCGTCGCCAACATCCCTGGAGTTGCCTCCGTCGACATGCCAAGGGGTTTTGTCCGTCAATGTGCCAAGGGGTCCTGCCCGTCCACATGCCAAACCACCTCCTATAATGGCAGAATCATTCGTCATCAAGTCCGTGAGCCATCTCTGTCCTTACGGATAGGGGTTGTGTCCTTCAAAGAAGTTAATTTCAAAGATGTTTTTTTCTGTCGTAAGTAGCATCAGAAATGTTGCCAACCCAGGTGTGCAAGCCAGAGAGACATGTTTGATAAGCAACATGTGGGGTGAAGGACTGGCCGTGCGCAGAAGCAATGGCTCAATCTATGTGATGACAGCAGAATGTCGACAGGGTTGTTCCCGTCGACATGCCAAACAAGCTTGTCTCCGTCAACATGCCAAAAGGGTGTCCGTCGATGTGCCAAAATGATGGTGTCCGTCAACATGCCAAGAATTTGTGCCCGTCGACAGGCCAAAACAGCGTCCTATAGCGTTACAGTCCTTAAACCTTGAAACTCCCGCCACTCGCCTCGCGCGGGTTCTACTTGTACCTTTTCACAAGGCTTATATGTTGCATTATTGCTCCACATCGCCCCTCTGAAATTTTATCGGCATTATTTCTGACAATATATCTGGCATTCTACCGGGCAATGTCTCGCTTGTGACTCCAAATTCCGCCCGCTTGTGACTCCAAAGTCATTTCGCCTGTGACTCCCAAATCATCATCATCAACATCAACATCATCATCATCATCATCATCATGATCATCATCATCATCATCATCATCAGCATCAGCATCAGCATCATTATCATTGTTGTCGTCATGGTCATGGTCATCGCCGTCCTGATCCTCAACATCTTGGTCATCTTCACCGCCACCATCATCAGCATCATCTTCATGTTGATGATCATCATCATCATCATCACCGTCGTCATCATCATCATCATCACCATCATCATCACCATCATCAAAGACAGAGCCAGAAGAAGATCTGATAGCGTGGCATCATGTCGGTGTGCAAGTACAAGAGAAGATCTCATAGCGTAGCACATGTGTGGAAGCACAAGAGAAGATCTCATAGCGGTAGGATACAGTCCCTGTGCCGAAAGCCGAACGACGTGAGCACATCCCACCCGACCCCACCCCCCAGGCCAGAGCCAGAAGAAGATCTGATAGCGTGGCACCATGTTGGTATGCAAGTACAAGAGAAGATCTCATAGCGTAGCATATGTGTGGAAGCACAAGAGAAGATTTCATAGCGTTAGGCTATAGAGAGTCCCTGTGCTGAGAACCGAAAGACGTTATCAAACTCCACCCCGCCCCACCCCACCCCACCGCACCCACCGACCCAAGATGATGATGATGATGATGATGACGACGCAAGTCAGTGTGCCCGTCGACATGTCAAAATTGACGGCTCGCGAATGCTCGCGATGCAAAAAAGTAGTCTGGAAAGGAAACATAGTAAAGTGTAAAATAGTAAATGTGCCCGTCGACATGCAAAATGCGCCCGTCGACATACCAAAATGACGGCTCGCGATGCAAAAAAGTAGCCTGGAAAGGAAAAATAGTGTAAAATAGTAAATGTGCCCGTCGACATGCAAAATGTGCCCGTCGACATGTCAAAATGACGGCTCGCGATGCAAAAAAGTAGTCTGGAAAGGAAAAGTAGTAAAGTGTAAAATAGTAAATGTGCCCGTCGACATGCAAAATGTGCCCGTCGACATACCAAAATGACGGCTCGCGATGCAAAAAAGTAGCCTGGAAAGGAAAAATAGTATAAAGTGTAAAATAGTAAATGTGCCCGTCGACATGCAAAATGCGCCCGTCGACATGTCAAAATGACGGCTCGCGATGCAAAAAAGTAGCCTGGAAAGGAAAAATAGTAAAAAGTGTAAAATAGTAAATGTGCCCGTCGACATGCAAAATGCGCCCGTCGACATGCCAAAATGATGTGTGCCCGTGGGCATGCCAAAAAACGACGCAACTGCGGCGGTCGACATGCCTGAGACGATCAGAGGTTGTTGGAGTTGCTTATCGACCAGTTCGTTGTGGCGGAGCACGAGGTGGAGGAAAAACTGATCGAAGAGACCGCCGAGAGAGGAGACTGGGAGAATTTTACTGCGGTCGGTTACAGCACTTCCGATGGTTTCGAGTTGGCGGACGAAGCCCTTTCCACTCAGATCACGCACACCTTGCGCCGAAAATTGGGAGATGTGGAGCACCATGGACGTCGTCTTCGAAAACATATTCAGGTGGTTGGTGCGGATCTCCGGGAGATCAGAACAATGTCCGAGGAAGCCTTCGTGCAGCAGAAATCAACCAGCCACGATCCACTAAATGGGAGGCTAGCACCAAATAGCGAGATATAATTTGATGTAACCTGCAGTAAGTAATTTAAGATATAAGTTATTGAAAATATTGAAAATGGCCGTTTATAGATGATTCTTCCGACTGAAGATGGTCATTTTCCATAGTAGTGTTAGTGTACTGGAGGGTAATCGGTACATACTTGGGATGTCCAAGCAACTTTATGATTTGGGTTTGTCTACAGATAGGGGATACTCCAAATGACACTATTGATAGAGAGACCCGATAGAGAATCCAAAAGTTTGGATGAACATTTGGATGACGATGTTTTCCATACGGGCGATATGGGGTTGATTAAGTAAATATAAAACGTGTCAAGAGTTCCAGTCAGACCGAGACTAATTTGCTACTTAGATGGGCCATGGAGTTAGTTAGCTGGCTAGTAACTGGATAAAACTGCTGGATTGTATTCTATGAAAGTGGATGTTATCCCGTAAAACTAACTGGGTTACAATAGGTTATAGTTATAGTCCACTGAAACAACAGTGTATTCAATTCATGACCAACCTAAGTACCTTCCAGTAAACCATAATGGAGAATCACAATGTTTACCCTCTGGTAAACTAACATAACTATGGAAATCATTTTTTTTATGGGTAAATCCACTATTTCTATGGCCATTTTCAACAGGAAACTGTTAAATTACCAGAGTAAATTTCATCACGACCCCACTGTTCTCCCGAAGCCTGGAATCAGGGTTAGAATCAAGGGAAATCATCCCCAAATGGCCGAACTATTCAGGGTAGTGAATTACTATAATTTACCCATATATAATTATATATTTATAATATGTGTTTATATATATTTATATTTCCAATGAGTGACGTGAATTCACATTTTACTCGCATGATAGACCCAGAAAAACCCAAACATAGCTCTCCATCGCCAGGTTAGGTCCCGACCGCCTGTTGAGGCAAGGATCACCCGTACGACCAGGGATCTTAACCCTGCATAGGGGGCCTAGGGAAGATCCCCAAACGAAGGGGAAATGTGGTGATTTAACATGATTTAACCAAGTTGACCAGGGAAAACGGTGATGAAACTAGGGGGACAATTGTGCTGAAACATGGGGATCAACCCTGGAGATGAAACAAAAAAACGAGTGAAACACTGAGATTTACATGAAATGATCAGCCAATATTTACTTAATATCATGAGGATATCATGGGATATATATATAGCCTACTTGGGCATATTTGGGCGTCCAGGCCAGAGCTTAATCCCATGGTATTGGAAAAACCCATGTTTTTCAGAGGTGAAATCTCGGAAATCTATCTGTACAAACGTGTAGACATTGTTTCAAGAAGAGCTGGTTGGTGGTGACTGGAACATGATTTAACAAAAACTGGAGAAACATGGGATACAAAGTAACCATTTCATGCAGACGCTTCATAGGATATGACATGATAGAACCAACAAATACCTGGTTGGTGGTTTGGAACCATGGATTTTTATAACTTTCCAGAAACAGTTGGGAATAATCAGCCCAACTGACTTTCATATTTTTCAGAGGGGTAGGTATACCACCACCCAGTGAGGTTTAAATTGGATCATATCATAGTCATCCATCCCTGCCCCTCAATATGAAATACAGCCTGTGAAAACCATGGCTTAGTTTTGGATCTATTCATTGATAGGGGCCTGCCATTTGATATCCATTTGATCAATTTAGGGATATGAACTTCTTGCCAAATCGGGCAGGAAAAATTCAGTAGGGTGAAAACCCGTGGGTCAACTGGCTGCATGGCTACTTTGTTAAACGTGAATCGTCAATCTCTTGCCAGACATGTGGATTTTTTGTCCTACTTGGGTTGGTGCAGTTCCAGTTCTGGATAGATTTGACCCTTGTCATAGAGGTTATATCATCATATCCCAACAAACATGAATCTTTATATGATTGGATTGGTTTAAGGGAACATGTTAACCCGAACTCCCCCATATTTCATGGTAAAAAACCATGGTTTCCGGTTCAGATTGTCCCTTCAACCAATCCCTATGGATCCATGGCCACTGTCTGAGAAGGTACAAAAAAGCCTCCAAAAAAAATAGTAAATTATACCCCAGTCCCACTTCCTAAGAAGGTACAACTGGATCCATAGGGAATGATTATAACCAGCATTTTCTGGGGGCGCCATGGCCGTGTATCCCGCACCTGGCCCTTCAAGAATAACGCTCGGCAGTTGGATGCAATTGGACCGTGGCGTTGGGGGAACTTGCTATCCTGTTGGAATTGCGAATTGCTGGGATTTGGTAAACAAGCAGTTTGCTATGGAAAATGGCCATAGCTATTTGGAAAACATAACTATAGTTATTGGAAAACATAACTAATGTTATCTTGTATTATAGTTATTTGGAAAACATAACTATAACTATAATACAAGATAACAAACTAACTATGGAAAACATACTTGTTCTTTGGACATTTGGTAAACAAAGAGTTTGCTATGGAAAATGGCCATAGAAATAGTGGATTTACCCATTAATAGCATGGTGGATCTTTCCATAGTTATTTGTTAACGTTTACCAGAGGGTAGACACTTGGGGGTTTCCTGCAATGGGGATATCCCAATAGCTGGTTCATAACAGAAAATTCATCTGGTTGGTGGTTTGGAACATGTTTTTTCCTATATATTGGGAATGTCATCATCCCAACTGACGAAGTCATATTTTTCAGAGGGGTAGGTCAACCATCAACCAGTCATCTAAAATTTCATGATTTGGGGGGGCCCCCATATGAAATTTCCATTTGTGACATCAGTGCCGAGATTGGACTTGCAGGTTGCATCGTCCGTTGTTTGTACTAAACTTGTGGCCGATTTTGGAGCTCAAGCCTTTTTTTGGCATCTCGAAACATGAAATGGTTTTAATACTGAAGACACAAAAACATGTCAATTTATTGACCTCATAAACCATCAATACAGTTAAGGCCCCAAATACCAGTTATAAGTACTGAACTAACCCCATTTATAGAATGTATTTCATCCCATAGAAATAACCAGTTATAACTAATAAATGGCCATAACTGTATGATGCCAAAAATAGCGTTTGTGTTTTCCATTGCTGGCAGTGCTGTTGCGTTCCCAAGAAATGACCCCTAACTTGGTGGATCCCACATACCAAGTAGGTAAGAAAACCCTATAGTCTATTTAATTATAAGTGGATTAACTGATTAAAACTCTTACTTAATCACCACTAAGAAACCAGGGTTATAGTTATAGTTTTAACTATTATAGTTATAGTTCCCACTAAGAAAACCAGGGTTATAAGTTATTACCTACTTTTGTTACAACCAGGATTATACCCTACTTTAGTAATTGCTATCCTGCTGTTTCCATGCGTGCATGTTTTTTCTTCATGGGATTATTAAGCCAAAAAGCTAAATCATCATTCCAAATAGGTAGAAAATCAAAGAAGATCCATTCCAATAAGGTTTATGGTAGATATAACAACTAGTGCATGGGTTTATCAGCCAACTTATACTTGGGGGGCACCAATAAGGTAAGTCAAATGGATTTCTTAAACCCACCGAACGACATCCACATGGCTCCTGTGCTCCTTGCAGGCCGGGGCAGAACTGTTCGGCCGCGCGAATGGGTGTCCCTCAAAAATGCTCGTTTGGCTGCTCCGTGGTGACAATGTGGTGCTTTTTATATCCCAACAAGATTATATAAATTATATAATTATCTGGTTGGTGGTTTGGAACAGCCGCGGGCTCAACACCTTCCAGTGGTGCGGCCGACCCTCGCTGAACGTTGAGGTTTCGCTCACCGCTGTTAGCCATGTACCTTTGATGGACATTGGGTTGGGTGACTCTGGCTGTCCTCTGACCCTGGTCGCCAAGGTGGAAGTCTTTAGCTGCTGACTTGAAAGGCACTTGTTGTGTATGGCCTACTCTGGTGGCTTCATGGTCTATCGTGGACTGCCGGATGGGGGAACTGACATGGTGACGCTGGTGGATGCTCTGGTGGAGGCTCAGTTCCTGATTCCGGTGCTTGAACAAGGCAAGGACACAAAGGTGCTGTATCATTCCACGCACTCTTGGAATGATTACTTCAGGTTGGTGGTCGTCTGCTGTGGTATTGGCGGAGTTGCGCATGGAGCTCTAGCTGTGGGTGTTCAAACTACAGTCTCGAATGATTGCAACACAAAGATGCTGGAGCTTCACAGGGCTCACTCTGGTGCTCACAGTATCCTTGGGGATTGTGGTAACCCTCCCAGCTGGTGCGGCTGTCCCCAGCCGAAAGTTGAGGTTCTGCCCACCGATGGCAGCCATGGAAAGTTGATGGACATAAGCAGGATTGATGCTGGTTGTCCAATGACTCACGGAGCTTTGGCTGTGGGAGCCCTCACGATGGTTGCTAATGACTGCAAAGTTAAGATGATGGGCCTTCACAAGGCCCACTCCGGATATGACCTTGTTTCAGGGGAGGCGGGCAACCCTCAGGTTGTGGCTGAACTTTGGAGACGCAGTGACTGTGCAGCCATTGGGAGTGCAGAATGTTCCTGCCAGATTTGCCCATTTGGGTGCTGTGATGTTAATCCCTCTGATCAGTGGCGCCATGGCAATGGTTTGGATGGCCTTCTTGCTGCCAGTAGCGATGTTGCGCTTTCCACTCAATGCCGACAGAATGGATTGCCATCTGAAGATCTTGCTCTCAATGGACATGGTGGGCTGGGAACTTCCTTACACGGTTGTGGAAGGGGTGAAGCAATGACTATGGTGGTTGAGCAAATTCGGTTGCCAATGGCTATGTACACTATTTTGGGGTTTTGTGCTGCACTGATGCAATGCCATGTCATGGTTGTTGGCAAAGTTCGGCTCCTGACACACTTGCTTTTTCTCAGTGCCAGCAGGATTAGGGTAGCTTGTCACCCTGGTCCTGACAGGGGTGGTTCCAAGTTTGTGGCTGCCATCCTGGCGGGGTTGTGTTGCTTAGCAACTTTTGTGATTGACCACGTTCCGGGTGCTGGTCTTTGGGCCCTGTGTGAAATGTGCAGATGGCTCTTGCTCTTTTGTTTTGTGCCCTTCTGGCAGCTCTCGCTGCCCTGGGATGGGCTGCTTGTTTCGGTGCCTGTGACAGGTCAGTCGCAACCTTAGAAGCTGTATACTACGGCCAATGTGCTGTCTTCGAGAACTAAGACAGCGCGTCGTTCAAAGCGGTACAAAGTGGTGGTTTGGAACAATTTTTATTTTGTCCACAATGTATTGGGAATAATCATCCCAACTGACCAATATTTTTCAAAATGGTTAAAACCACCAATATATATATATATGTAAAACTATTTGTGCCATAAACTCGAGCTAACCTAGTTATGAACCAACCTGCATTAGATATCTTATTTGGGGGTCCACCTTGTACCAACATAATTCAACCAACCTTTGGAAATTTCACCGTAAAAACTTGGTGTAGTTGGGAGACAAGTTGTGATTCAACTGGCACAATTATGATACGTGGGTTTATTGATTGGTATTCTGATGGGATATAAATTGGATATTGACTTGTATTTTGATGGGTATAAATGGAAAGTTTGGGGCAGTATTAATTGGTAATTAGTGCACCTTAGTTTGCTAAGTTGACAGAAATGTCTAGATGAACTGCCAGGGTTTTGGCGACTCTAACCACAGTTTGATGTTAGATGTGTTCATAAAGCAAGTAGAAGGCAGCACCTTGTGGAATCAGCGTCAAAGGGTCTAGTTTTAGTCAGCAACGGAAACTGCATGGCCGGCCGAATGGCTTAAGCATAATCATTCTTACTGTAATGGGAAAACTCACTATTTCTATGGCAATTACCCTCTGGTAATTTAACATAGCTATTGAAAATGGCCATTTATAGTGGATTTTCCTATTAAAAATTGTGATTTTCCATAGCTATGTTAAATTACCAGAGGGTATCCATAGCAAACTGCTAGTTTACCAGAGGCTAAAAGATCCAAATCGACCAAAATTTTCTTTGATCATTTTGACAGAGACCCAACTTCTGATGAAACACATTAAAACACCTGATTGGTGGTTTGGAACATTTTTCCATATGGATGTGGGTCAAAATGGAAGACCTAGGGGACCACAGATGTTAGTCTAGTTTAGTATTAACCATCCATAATTTTGGGGTACCTAATTTTGACCCATACCCATATATTGGAAAATCATCATCCCAAGTGACGAAGTCATATTCTTCGGAGGGGTCAACCACCAACCAGATAAGTTGGAAAGTGTGGAAATTCACCATTTTCAATGGGTAAATCCACTATTTCTATGGCCATTTTCAATGGCAAACTGTAACAAATTACCAGGGTTGTGCCCCCTCCACTCATAAGTTGCTGGGTTGGAATTGCTATAGGAAGACATGACTGCTGCAGGCCATTGGTGGAAACAAATGGCTATGGTCCCATGCCATGGTTATAACGACACCTACAGTATAAGTTGTGGCCCATGGGGCCCCTATACCCTCTGGTAATTTAACAGTTTGCTATTGAAAACGGCCATAGAAAGAGTGGATTTTCCCATTGAAAATGTTGGTTTTCCATAGTTATGTGAAAGTTTAGCAGAGGGTAACTATTGTGAAATATGGTGGAATCTCTCCACTGGTTCACTGGAACTGCACCAACCCCAGAATGAGATTCGAACATGTCGAACATCAGTGCTTTTTTTTCGGATAAAAACGAAAGCGACCGAAGCTCGTTTGACCCGTTTGGAATGTTTGGGTCAATTGTGATATCCCGCAGGAAGGGCCCATAGCCAAATTGGTTTCGAACTACAATAACTACGATGTATGGTTGATATAGCTGGACTAAACCAGGACCCCTTTCTGTGGTGACCCCGGAAATCCTAAAAAATCTGGCCCTGCCGTTTTTTGACCACAACTTAGGTGACTCTACACCTCCAGTTGCTCAAAACTTCTCGGCCTTTGGAGTTTTTCTGCCCGACTACTCTTGTGATCCCTTTGACGTGGCCACTTTTTGTTGGATGTGGTGCTTCACCATGATGAACCTTTCAGATTTTACTTTTTTTTACCATTTTATACCCAGTATTATATTTCTTATTGTTGAAATAACATTGTCATAAATGTTTGGAATATTTGGTTGGTGGTGGTTTGGAACATGATTTTTTAAAATGACTTTCCGTATATTGGGAATAATAATCTCAACTGACGAACTCATATTTTTCAGAGGGGTAGGTATACCACCAGCCAGATGATGAACCTTTCAGATGTTGTGATTTTACTCACGTAATACGGCAAATGTGATGATTGACTGATGAGATATGGCAGATATGGGTATGTCTGAAAATGGTGTATACCCCCCACATGTTGAATTAGGGAAAATGATTTTCTAATCTATTGGAACTGGGAGGTAACCATGGGTAACAAGTTTTCAGACAAACCCCCATGATATCATCAATCTCTTGGGTTTGGTTTATAAAACCCATTAAATAACTTTAGATAATTACATCTATTTTACCTACCATAGTTATATATATATAATATTATATAATCACAATATAATATATATATAATTATAATCATAATATATTCATATATATATATATATACATATGGGTTCCTTCTTTTAAGACACAATGCGGGGAGGGCGCCGCACATCGTCACGAAACGTCACGGCTCAGCGGACGGAACCTCGTGGACTTGCACGGTAAACGGCCGTAAAGTCTGCTGGGACGTTTGCTTTGTGAACATAATATCTATAGTTAAACCAGGGTTAAATAGATATTTAACATCATATCTATAGTTAAACCATGGTTAAATAGATATTTAACATAATATCTATAGGTAAACCACTATTGTGAACACTATAGATATTTAACTTAGTTGTGGTAAACCATGGTAAACCATGGTAAACCCAATAATAAGCATAAGCTATCCCCAATAGAGGTTGATTTGGAGGAGAGCCCGGAGACCAATTCTGGAATGATGGAACATGATCCCAAAAACCCTGAGCTTTTCTAGCGAGGCACGAAAAAAAAGCGCTGTATAGCCTCAAAAGAATGGGAATTTTCAAGATCTCACTTGTGAGATATCCATGAACAATGTCAACTAACGATGTGCCATCCATGAATCATATGAACTAAGTATGTGTCCATGAATCATCATGAATCATGTTAAGTATGGGCATAGCCTCAAACCGTCCGCGAATTTTCAAGAGCTTTCGCAGCCTCGGGGGAGCACCCGCTGGATGGCGCGAGCATGGCCTCCGCGGCAAGCTTCCAGAGACGCCACGCTGGGGAACCCATGGTGGCGGTGGGATTGGTGACCGAAGCACAGCATGGTGGACATGTCTATGTGGAATTTGAACCCCAGTAGTTGATGCTTTAATATAGTTTAACATCGTTTAAAGCATGGTATATATATATATATAGAATTTCCTAAGACTTTTGAACACTACCTTTCAGGTTAAGAACCATTGCTAAGACCATGATATTGGGTACACATTAATAATGTGTTTCTAGAATTTCTTTTCCGATGTCATTTTTTAAACCATGATACAAACATAGAAATACCTTTCATGCCAAACACCGGTTCCTCCATGTCCCACTATAGAATGACTCCCCCCCGGTCCTCTATAGAATGACACCCCCCCATCCTTTTAATTCAAAGGGGGATGACATGTCAAATATATCAACGTATCCAATCATGTTGGACCTGCTTCATCAATACATGTTATTGATGGTTGAATGAGCAGCTTGTACTGTTAAATCTTGCATATAAGGGTGATATCGGAGATGTTATTGTTATCCCATGATGTGTCCTTTATCAATGGTTGAATCCTATTGTGGATGATTGATTGTGTACATATATATATATATATGTATGATCACATCATCATATCTCTAAATAGTAGTACTGTAACCAAGTGCTAATTCGTTTTTCATATACCCGCCCACCCACCCAAACAAAAAAGCAAGTCATAGTTCCAAGTATCAACATATTCCCTTTAAACTGATTGTCATTGACTAGTTGGATCCCATTGTTCGCAGAATTGAATTCAGTGATGCAGGATGGGGCCCCCCAGATATAAGTTGGTTTATAGACCATGAAATAACCTCCATTATATCACCTATGGACCTATAAACCATAGTTATTAGGTTTATTTCAACCAACTTAGCTATCATAAATCCCCATTAAATAGTTCGTGATATCTATCATCAACCACAGTTTTTTCAGCCACAACCCCATCCTGTGGGTATCTGAGGTCAAAGTCGCCCCGTCACTACGTCACAGGCGAACTCGCCGCGTTGATACAATGTGGGGCAAGCGTTTTCGATAGGAAACAGGATTTCCATGAGTTGTTTTGTTGGCTAAGTTGGTGAACGTCATTCCAATTACAATTCTAATATAGTTTATGAATTTATGTTACTTATAGCCTAGCTATGTATTTCATTCATGGGGTTTATAAAGCAACAAACAAAACTGGGAGGGGCTGGAGATGATCATCCCAAATAAGACTTTTGAGCATTCCAATCCACCAGCCAGCCGCGGATTTCCATTAAGTGGCAATTCCAGGACTAAAATCAATGGCCATTTCAGTTCTGGGTATATTATAATACATATGGGTGATATATCTATAATTCTATAGTTTCTTGGGTTTTTGATTGTCAATGGTTATACTGTATCAATGGCCATGCAACAGGAACCGATTGACTAGAGGTACCTAACATATATAAGGCCTATGGTTCAGGCCTAAATTTCAGGGAATATCCCTACAAAATATGGCCCAACATATGGTACTAACGTACCTCCATTTTAGGATCCTGGAATTCCCATTGCTAAAATGGAGCTACTGTGCCTAAGTCCAAAGAACGTGGGGATATATTTCCCTTACATACCCTCTCGTAAACTAACATAGCAATTGAACATGGCCATTTATAGTTGATTTGCCAATTAAAAACGGTGATTTTCCATAGTTATGTAAACGTTTACCAGAGGGTACACCTTAGATCTTACTGTGGCAGGTGCGGTGAATACCTCAATACTACCTGCGGTGGAAAAAAACCAGTTGTGTTGATGCGGAATCCCCATCAAGACTAGTTACATATATATCCCCAAACTGGTTGGTTTGGAACATGAATTTTATAACCTTCCATATATTGGGAATTTCATCATCCCAACTGACTTTCTCATATTTGTCAGGGGGTTGAAACCACCAACCAGCTAAAAGTTTAAGTGCTATTTATATAATATAGATATACAGATATATACATACCAAGCCCAAAAGAGAGAAAAGTGTTTCCAGGATTGTATAGGTCAAAATGTTCCACATATGTTCCAGGTTCCAATGTTGTTTTGTTTTTTGGGTATAACGGCAATAAATAAAAGTAAAAATACTAAGAATAATAAGAACAATACTACTACTAATAATATTTTCACTAGTAATATATCTATATATACATATGTTCCAAACAAAACCTTCTAAAGCAAAGGTATTTCCCAAAGAAGGTCGAAATGGTGGGGAGGGGCCATGAGGCCAGTACTTTACAATGATGGCAGGAAGAGAATTCTTTAGATGGCTGCAATTTAGATTGCAATTTGTTCAACTCGGGCTTATAATGAAATACATATATATATATATTGCGGAAGCACGGGTAGCGGCCCAACAGCTATGGGGTTACCTACCTCTAGCTCCTAGGTCAAATGACCTCACAAACAACGCTCACCCTCTTTTCTACCATCCAGCCAATAGAGGCTCAAGGCCTGTCCAGCCGATATGCAGCGGCATCACGAATCACTTCCAACCTGAGGCACGAAAGGATCGACAGATGCATTGGAAATTTACACGCCCTCTCGTAGAGGCGGCTGCAAAGGCTGCTACAAAAACTTCTCAACAAATCTAACGCTCGCGGCGATAACCTCCAGCACCTCCATGGAATTCCAACCAGTTGATACGAAGTAGGAAACGGGCGAGATCGGTCGCCTGATTCTCACAAGGTTCGGAAATGTCCTTTCCGTAAGTCTTCACAATCCAGCTCATGTACTTCTGAACCTCTTTGTCATTCTTGGCGGCTTCCACAAGATTGGAGTATCTCCATCCCTTACTCTCGTACTTCTTCATGGTCAACTTGGTTGTGGACCAATCATCGATGTCTGTGACCTCATTCCCCAGTGGGATCTTCACATTCTCTTGCAGTTTCACACCTGGGAGAACTTTGGAAATGGTCAGCTTACCGACATGCTTGTCAGGATGCTGGCTGGTCACCTCGCTCCACTTGGACGAACAAGGACTGTCACCTTCATGAAAATCAAAAGGATCGGCCACGTCACGCTGGCGCTTGCTGCCATCATGCATGCTGCCGTTGGCATGCATGCTGCCGGTGGCTCCCTTGGCTACATCATCTTTCACCAGGTCGCTCAATCCAGGATTCTCACGAAAGAGAAGGTTGAACAGCTCGGCACTCTGTCCATTCATGGCTGCACGAGTCACGAGGTGGCACACAACATTGAATTCATCTGGCGTCAATGGTGCGCTTGGATCGGACTTCTGCATCTTGCGAGACATTTGACTCGGAAATTTGAAGTCTCAGGCTCTTAGTTGCTCTAGGCTCACGGCTTGAGTTTGATGAAAACACTGCTGGCGGACGAATGCATCTATACATGTACAATGGCATCAGTCCTATGGTTTATATTATGGTTTTCACTGCAAACACGACTTTGTCCTTACAGTGCACTTGTTTGGAAAAACTGTACAACACATGTTGTGACTGGATGTCACTTTTGCTCTTGGCGGTTTCTGGCTCTCTCCTTACTTCCGGACTCTTGACATCTCTTTATTTGATATACCCCTGTTTCAAGCAAAACAAACAACAATCTGGTTTCCCCATTCAGCTTCGTAAGGCAGTCGGCTGCCATGTAGTTATTGTTTATCCAGTAGATTTCGATATTCTGCAGTTTCATGGCTTGACGCGCTATGGCATAGTCGATTTCCAATTTCTTTTCTTCACTGGTTGACGCACTGCTCAACTTGCTTGCAGCTTCGTAAAAACCTCTGGAATCCACAACCAACAAGGCGGTGTGTTTTGGCACCTGCAGTCTGAACTGTTTTGGGGTTATACCATGAATTGTCTCTGCTAACAAGGCTTGAAAGAACTCAATTGCATCCATTGCATTGATTCCGGCATGAGTTTCAGCCGCTGTGGACGACTTCACAACTCTTTTCAGCTTTTTGCTGGCCCAGTCTACCAACCACATCGGTGCTTGCTTGCGGTCGCGCATGCTTGGATTGGTGAGACCTAGCAGGTAACCACCTTGTGAGTCTCCATTGGCACGTTTGGCATGGCCAGCATCTCCTATGCAGATGATACGCCACTGGTCAATCGGCACATTTGAGGGAAACTTAATGGTTATCCTACGTTCTTTCATTTCACGGAGGGCCTTATTAAACATGGTGATATGGCTGACAGTGCCCTTATCTTGTACCCCTTGAAGATAGGAAGCCAAAAATGCCTGGTCAGGCCGTGTGGACCCAGCGGCCCATGCCAGCTGTCCGGCACACTGCCGTAAGAGAGAAACATCACGTATCGGTGTACCTGCAGATCCCAAGGACTTGGTGGATATAGGCTGTAAAGAATCTATGTAAGCTTCCTGGCCTATCTCTATCTCATAAGTATGGGGGTTCTGACGGATTTCAATCCCGGTATACCTGATGGTGAATGTACGGTAATCTCCAAAAGGCAATTTCTTTTTGAGGGAATCCAAGACTCTATCCATTTCTGGGGTTCCACCTCCCAAAAGATCGTCTACATGGACTCCACAGATTCCTATCAGTTCACCTTTCTTGTTTCTCAAGGTAAAAAGGCATCTGTCCAGCTGTGACACCTGTAGTCCTTGCTCGGATAGCTCACGGCTTAGGCGCAAGAACCATGCACGCGGTGCCTCTGCCAAACCATATGCAGCTTTCTCTAGGCGAAACAGTTGGTCTCTATCAAGTTTCATCCATGACTTGATTTCATCAGGCGGCCTAAAGTAAAGTTGCCTATCACTGGGATCCCCACTAAGGAAAGCAGTCTTTATATCTGCACCCCATATTTTCCACTTTTTGGCTGCACAAATGGAAAGGATAAGATTTTTCGACTCTTTTCTAAGTGTCGGGCTGTCTGTTTTGATACGGCCCAGTTCTGGATCCTGCCATCCAACTAGCACCAATCGTGCCTTTGGGGTTTGTGAAGGATTGTCAGGGTCTGATGACTTTTTCCAAACCAATACCCAACGTGCACGGATAATGCGTTCTCTTGGGATGCCTCTAGAATGGCACAGTGATGTCACCTTGTTGTCTATCCAAGATTGCCACTCCTTTTTCATGGCTACTTCGAACTTTGCTTTGTCTTCTACGCTGAGTTTCCTATAGTTGACCTCTACCTTACGCTGCTTTGCTTTTGGAACCACATTGGAACAGTCTTCGATTACCCCCCATAGGAACAGTGGATTCTCAGTTATGTCATCTGGTCTAACCTCAATTGACACCTCCATGACCTCATGTTTGTCGGGAACTGGAAATGCATCTTCATGTTCAAGGAGTAACTCATCATCACTTCCATTATTAGGAACTGGAGTGGTTATTGGGTTAGGTTCTTCCTCTGGTGGTGGATCTGGTTGTTCCATGGCATCGGCACCATCGGTTGATGGATCTGCTGGAGATTCCTGGGCTGCAACGCTCGGATCAGCATGAGAAGTTTGCTCGGATTGCACGGCTGGATCACCTGTTTCATGTGTTTCGCTGGCTATTGACGGCTCATATTCAAGTTCTTCTGCTTCACTATTGATTTGGACTTTTCTTTTTGGGTCAGGTTCATTATCTATTGGGGGACCAGGTCTACTGGGTTTAAGTCTTATTACTGTTGGCATCTCAGCATCTGCATGTAGGGGTCCTAGAGGAGGCGCGCCCTCTGCCCTATGCTCCCAGTATTCAGGGGACCTAGTGATTCTCCTACGGATTTTTCTTGGTGCACCTTCATCAAGTTCTTTTTCGGGATCATTAGGTTCCTCCCATAGATCTTCCTCCAGTTCATGGTCCTCATCCATAGGCTCATGTTCTTTGGTGAGATCAGCAAACTGGCCTGACCTACTTGAAACACTTTGTTCTGCGTTTTCCAGCTCTGGGTGCAATCTCCCTTCGGCTAGGGATCTGGCAAGGCTTCTAAACTCAGCTTCGTCCTCCGGAACTGGTCTCAAACCTTCTGGACTGCAGCGGTACAGATATCCATTGTAGGACACCCAAACCACACGTGGCGTGGGACCACCGCTTTCACTTTCTGTGCCTACCACTTTTCCTGGTCCAATCCAAACTCCATGTCTAGTAGAAAGGAGACCCCTGGCTCGGCGTCTGAACACATAAACCAGTTGACCTACTTGGTAAGGGCCCCTTATTGGTCTAGATCTTCCCCCTATGGCACGGCGCCATATGTCTTTTGCATGCTCTTCATGGAATGCAATTGCGGCTTGCTCTCGAAGTCTTACTTTTTCGTAGAAATCAGGACTTTCGATGATTTGGGAAGCAGTGGCTATGTTGTGTTGTTCATCTAAATCCCTCAACATTCCTACTTGGCGACCGTCTTTTCCAAGGAACCATTGGGAAGGACTGAATCCACATCTTCTCAACTGCTCATTTCTGGTGGTGGCACAAGTCTCTATGACCTCTTTGGCAGGTCTGGAAGTGGTTCTCCAGACACGTTGGGCCATATGTCTCAGCACGCGGTTGGTCACCTCGACCAGTCCAAGCTGCCAGTGGGATTCTGCAGCAGCCAGCAAAAGCTTTATGTCATTTTGAGCAAGGTAATTTTGAAACTCCTTACTGACATTGGCCATTGCAGGGTCCATGTATATCGTATTGGGAAGGCCATAAGGTCTGGCCCACACATCATGAAATGCTTCGGCCATGGAATGACCTGTTGGGCATATGATCTGCTGGGCAAAACCGGTGGCAAGGCAAACACATGTCAGGACATTATGTTTTATCTCCCTCATTACCCCTTGGTTATCTTCCCGTTTAAGTTCTACCTGGACATAATCCATTCCAACTATGTCATTAGGATTCTCAGCATGGGGCATGGTGGCTTGCCTACGGCTCTGGGGAACCTTAAGCTCTTCACAAACGGAACACTTGAACTGCTTGATGGCTGTCTGCATTTCCGCTGAGGACTTGCAACGCTTGGCTAAACGCAACATTTGCTCTGGTGAAGCATGACCTGTGTTCACATGAAGTTTTTGGACGATTGCTTTGATCTTTTGGCTAACTGCTAAGGGCTGAGGCTCGCCCTCTTGGTATGGAACCATTTCATCCGGCTGCTGCTGTTCCATTTCTTCATCATCATCTTCATCAAACAGCACATCGTGTGACATGCATGGGTCTATGTTCACTTCGGACATGACTTCGGCTATGATGCGACACATTTTGTTGGGATAAACTTCACACCAAGACGACAAGTTTCGACCCTTGAATTTACCTTCCAAGTGCGCATGACCATGTTTGTGATCGCAACGACATGAAGTCAACCTATCAACAAGTTCCTTCATGGTGGTTATGATCCTAGTTGGCTTTAGCACTGGAACATTTGTCTTGGGGCATCGCATTCCTACACTGCACATGTCAATGCGTACATCGAAAACTTCACCTACAAAAATCTCGGACCATGCTTCTGAGGTGAGTGGGTTTTCTGCATGACAATGTCCTCCGAGCAAACGTTGAAGTTGCCAGGCTTCGGAAACTGCACGCAAGTGGCGCCTTGCTTCCTTTCTCTGCTGCAAAACTGTGGATTCTGACTTGCCTCCCTTGGCAATGTTGAAACGGCTCCAGGGTCCCCAGCAACCACATGGAAAAGAAAACCAAACATGTTTCGGCCTTACAACAGCTAACAGGTACATGAGCAAACGTTGGTCCTGAAGTCTGTTGAAATCTTGTCCATGGTTCAAACCCAAAATGATACTGCTCTTACCAGTACGTTCGGAAACTTTTCTGGCAAGTGGTGCATGGTCAGTGAACACCTCGATCATGTGAACTGGGCTATCTAAGGCTGGAGCTTGTGGACCTAACCAGTTTCTCAACTCGTCAAGAACCTGATCGTACTCATCATGAAGCCGGGAAAGGATTACCTGGGTATTCAGTTTTCTTATTGATCTTATGTTCTTCTTAATCCTATCCCCCACAGTTTTATCCACTTTATCCCTGTTACAGTTAACCCAATCAACTTCTTCATAGACAGTTTCTAATCCGGGTCCATCGGGAATGGACGGTTGCAAACTTGGGTCAACATCTTCGCTGCAGCAGAGACAATGGCATCCGGAGTGTTTCTCGGATTCAGGCTTCGGCGGAAGCTGCACACCTTGCACTGGGATGTAAACATACAGGGCTATGTTGGTCTGTACAACTCTGGCCTTCTCACTGCCTGCGGCACGGGTGTTCCATGGCTGTATGGACATTTCACCCTCACTGGTCAGGGTTGCGATACTTCTCAAGTATGGCTGCTTATCAGCATCTTCTGGAATACGTTCCAAACGTGGCCTATATGCTACATATGCATGCGTGCATTCTGAGGCTCTACTTCCAAACAACTGGACAAGTTCATTTCTAAACCTATCCACATTTACAACACCCTTCCTAGTGTTCTTCACAACATGTTGCAAAACTTGCTTCCTAGTTCGACGGCACGGCGGTTTGTCACGCCTCTCCATGGAACTGGATGTTGTGGCATCTTCTGCGGCTTTGTCATTGGGCTCATTGCTTGGCACTGCTGATTCGGATCCAACAGTCTCGGACTCTGACATGGAGACAACACCAGGTGAGCCATCCGTGGCATCGTAGATGTCCACATCGGCACTTTTGCTCGAAGGCGGATCTGTTGGCTCAAACTCTGAAGGCTCATCACAAAACGGTAAAAGGAAGTGGCCATTTGCAGCACGTTTCAACGGCACATCTTTCATACCATGCTTGGTGCTACTGATTGTTCCCTTCCCCATATCCAAATTGGCTTCCATCCCTTCCAGAACTCGCCTTGATAAGAGAAAAGGTGTCGGGCCATTGACCACATACGTTGTGATAGTACCCCAAAGTTCTCCAATCTTCACTGTCCATTTCAGTCCATAGGTGGTGATTCTACGGTCCCCACTGAAGCCTTTCAACTCAACAGCTGGCAAAGTGCACTTTTCAGGGCTAGGGAGGCCCTTCTGCTCGAAGAGTTTCTGGAAGCGAACTGCAGTGTCAAGACCTATCACGCTTGTAGTGCATCCAGTGTCAATGATTGCACACCCATCGGGAATGGAGGCCAACAAGACATCCAAGGTAGGACTTTCGTTGTTCCACTCTTGTGTGACAACCATATAAGCAAAGTCAGTGGCTACGGTCCCAGTGGTGAAATGGGCATCTTCTTTCCGTGGCTGACGCTTTGGCGGAAACACTTTTTGCTGCTTGGACTTGTCATATCGGAACTCTTGTTTCTTTGGTGCAGATGAGGCATTGGCAGGCTGCAAAGTGCTGGCACTGCTATCACCTGGCTGACTCAAGGCAACTACTGGGTAGTATGGCTGTCTTGCTTTCTTTATTTCCTTGACCCTTCTACGGCTTTCTTTGTAGGTCTTGAATGACTTCTTGAAGTCTTTCTTGGCTTTTTGTTTCATCTCATATATCTCTTGCAACTCCAAGTCAGAATCATTCTCATCTTGGTCAGGAGGACCTTCAGCATGTTGATCAGCCATGTATGCATCATCGGAACCTGAACCACTTGTCAAAGGCTCTTGCAGATCGGACGAATCATCTTCCATGGCATGTACATCGTGCTCCCGGTGGGCAACTGCATATGATTCCCGTCGGGGAGTACGGGAACTGCCATGGTGCATGTGTGGGCGTCTTTCATCATGACGGCTGCGGGATTCATCAAAATCGGAGGCACGGAGAATCCTCTCGACTTCTGCAAAGCGGGATGAACCGCCAGTGGCACGGATGACTTGGGCTCTCTGCTCTCGGCTCAAACCATATTTGCGCATGAACAAATGACCCAAAACAGTGGACGGAAAGATCGGCGAAGGCTTGGTGTGGCCAACCTCTACGGTTCCTAGCATGTATGCCATTTTCAGCTCTTCTTTCTTTCTATCACCTGAGTGCGTACCTCTGGAACCTCGACTGCTATGACGGCGACGTCTCTGCTCGGATGTATCATGACTCCGGGCAGTTCTCTGCTCATCAGCATCACCAGGCGGTGAGGCTGCGGCTTTCGGTGCAGGGGTTTCAGATCGCACACTACCTGCTGTTTGGCCGGATGCTTCTGCGGATGCATCAACTGGGGCGGCTGCTGGCTCACGACTGGTTGATCCTGGTTCGGACCCATCATCACTAGGTTCTAAGCTGCTATTGTCGGGCTCGGCACTGGCAACAGAACTCTTTCCTGTCTTTCCAACTTTCTTGGTCTTGGCTGTTGACCTCTCCTGGGCTATCAGTGCTTGAACTCGGGACAAGGCTGTTTTGAACCTCGATGCAAAGGCTGTGGCACCTTCACGGGGCTTTTTCCGCAGGTCAAACAGGAAGCTATCTATTGCTTCATGCAACTCAGTCTCTGGCAAGAAGGCATAGTGGGTATCCAAGGCTCGAATGACTTGCAACCAACCATCATCGCGGCGCAAGTCCGACACTGCTAAGTGTTCAGTGGCTCGGTAAGCTTCTCCTTGAAGTCTCGTGAGCAACCTTGGTCCAGCTAAATGCACATGTCTTTCCTCTAAACCAGCTACAGCAAGGATTGTCTTTCTCCGGAATTCTCGGTAATTACCAGGTCTGCCATCGAAGACAAGATCTCTGAATGATCCAGAGTCCTTCTCCATGTTGATCAGCACCAAAGGTCGCGGTGCTGCACGTGTTGACCTTGATGGCCAAACTCACCAGCAAACGGCGCTGGCGCACGGATGCCCTGGCTTGGAGCCTAGGGCTCCGCTACCATGCGGAAGCACGGGTAGCGGCCCAACAGCTATGGGGTTACCTACCTCTAGCTCCTAGGTCAAATGACCTCACAAACAACGCTCACCCTCTTTTCTACCATCCAGCCAATAGAGGCTCAAGGCCTGTCCAGCCGATATGCAGCGGCATCACGAATCACTTCCAACCTGAGGCACGAAAGGATCGACAGATGCATTGGAAATTTACATATATGTATATATACGTATGTATGTGTATGTATACATATATATATATTTACATTATATATATATATAGTTAAATGCTGTGTATATATAATATACTTGGATGGGTCCATAAAGCAACTTATATATGCATTGGGGCCCTTTCTCGCATCACTTAGCAAAGGTAATTTCAATAGCAACGGTGTGAGAAAACATGGTGGGTTCATACTGATTACAACTATAGTTAATGTGGGACACCGTGGCTGCCATAAACAACTACCATTTGGGGATGGTTAAATTGGTGATTTTGGGAATGGTTGGTGAAATTGGGTTTGCCACATTAGAACAGTGAAATGGTTGGTGAAATTGGGAGTATCAAGAACAGTTTGGAAGTATGTAGCACCAGCTTGTCTGAAAGGACAGACATCCTCTTAATTTTCATTGGGGGTTGACACTGCGAAAACAGCAGGCACAATTTACTTTTTCTTATTGTTGTAAGTTGCCCAAATATCGTGTGACTTTCCCTTTTCTACTGAACATGCCCACGTAAATCTAATATATATATATTATACTGTGTATATAAAGATATATATATATTATAATGTGTATATATATATTATATTATATGTATTATATACGTATCATAATTCTACATGTATGTGTTTTTGCGATCTTCACACGGGTAGTACGGGAAAGTACTGCTGGTCGGTGCATCATGGATACTACTGTGACCTAGCCACCAATGTTGCGACCTAGTCCAATACAAGGTTAGCTGGTAGCTAGTGATGGTGCCCCCCAAACGTTATGTTTATTGGTTTATAAAAACCATTAGATAAATGGCTGATAATCCCATTACTGGTTGGTGGTTTTAACCATCTTGAAATATATGAAAGTCAATGGGGTTGGGATTATCCCATATATTATGGAAAATAATCCAAATGTCTGAAACCACCAACCAGACTAGTTCGATATATCACCTATAAACCAGAGTGAAATTGGAGTTCTGTGGCCCCCAACTGAACGCGAGCTCGACTGGGGGCACCACCGACAGTATAGGATCCATCAGCAGTTGGATGGTTTTATATACCAATCTATGAGAGAGAGGCTCCTATTTTGCGATGTTGTCATGTTCTGGTTGGTGGTTTGGAACATTTTTTATTTTTCCATATATTGGGAATAGTAACCCCAACTGACTAATATTTTTCCACCAATCAGATGTTTGTTTGATTCCACTCTGGCTTTGCTGTTTTTTTTTAAATACGCGTCGAAACAAAGCACACAGGGCGTGCCCGACCGTATGTGGATTGGGTTCGGGCGGCTCAGATCAGATTGCCCACCCCCCCAGCGATAAAGGTGTTTATAAAATAGTCGAACGGTATATTCTATAGTTAGGCTAGCTATGGTTAGGTTAGTTGGTTTTATTAGTTATCAACTCACGTGTCTAAGAGGGACCCTTCTGCAGGTAATCCTAGTGTCTCAGTTGGTGCTTTGATATGATCAAAAATCCCAGATGATTGGTGGTGACATGGAATCTTGACATGACTTAACAACGAACAATGGGGATTCACATGGATCAAAGAAACGGTACAAAACATGTGGAACTGCTGCGGAAAATTGTGAATTCGTGTAACCAGCCAAGAATTGGACTTTTTTTGGGGGCGAGAAGATCTATTGGAAAACCTGGCTGGTTTCAGATGTGTGCTTGGGGGCTTGATAAAGATATTGCCAGTTCCACCCAGTTCATGCCGAAAACCCCTCAAAACCATAAGCATTTGGTCTCCGTGGTTTCCACTCAGATACTGTATCTGGCCCTTGAAGTAGCAGAAGCCAAAATCTGAAATACATCCAGAACAGAATAGCTCAAGTACAGTCACATTCATCGGGTTCCTGATAATTGAGGCTTTACCCTTTACCCTGAGGATAGGATATGGGGTCATACTGATTGGTCAACTGGGGACTGCAGTGCAATGCATTTCGTGAATCCCTCTCAAGCAACCTGCAGTTGTGGGTATGAGGCAGGGTTTTGGGTTGTGCTCAAACATGGTTGTCTTCAATATTTGGTCATGCCAAAATCTGGTTTGGATGTTACCCTCTAAGTTATTTAACATAGCCATGGAAAATTGCCCATTTATAGATGGTTTACCCATTGAAAATGGTGATTTTCCATGGCTATGTTAAATAACCAGATGGTAAGTGGGATAATTAGAGTTTATCCCACTTATGACCCCAGTAATCATTACTAATCAAATGGTGAAATCCCAGTTATAACATCTTGCAGTTGATTCTGCATATGTCTCCGAGTCCAGACCTTGCTACCCTATGGTACCCTTCGGCCAGCTGGATGATGCTGGATGTTCATCTGCCCAAATCTGGTGTTTCATAGGTTTTGATCTGTCCCTATATGAGGAAATCTGATCTTATTTGAGCAAGTCTTACCCTATCACCATCACCAAAAAAACACATATCAAATGAATCGGACATCAGTGACATCACAAAACCCTTATATATATAATTATAAATCTACATGTATCTATATATATATATATGTACAGCATCCCTCCGCGATTGAGCTGGCTGGAGCACCGCCACATGTCCAGAACTTGCTGCAAGCAATCCATCGAGACACCTGGTTCGTGGTGGATGATCAATCGGACGTAGTCCGTACAGAATTGGGCCCCCGCCCTGGGGACGGATTTGCAGATGTAGTATTTGGGTTCCTTTGGGAGCAAGCTGCTTAGGACCCTTGAAGCAGAGCTCCAGAACCTCCAAATGCTGGACCACTGGACCACTTCCCGATTGAGACGGGATTACAGTGGGGTCAACGAGAAGACTTGGAGAGGACGGCAAGGGAGTCCAGCCCATTCCTGGGACCTACATGGATGGACGATTTGTGTGTCTTTCGGCCCACAGCAACGACGAATTGGTGAATCGCATCGGAGTTGCAGCTGGTCTGGGCAAAACTGAAGTGATGCCGAGCTTCTGCGGCCAGGGATCCAGATCGATGAGAAGGAGATTTTCCAGCCTTTCTGAAGGTGCACACTTCCCAGTGGTGTGCGAGGCTGGGATCAGTATGATCTCAGTAGTCAGTCGCTACACACACCTGGGTGGAGTTCTGCATCATCGCGATGTCACCAAGGGGGAAATCTCTAGAAGGCTGAGCATTGCACGCAGCGCATTTGCCCAACATCGAAAGCTCCTGTACAAGAATACACAACTGGCATGGGACAAAAGAGTTGAGCTCTTTCAAACTCTGGTCCTTAGCAAGTTGACCTATGGCCTTGAATCCTGGACCTTTTCATGCCAGCGAAGCCGCAATCATTTCCATGCAGGAGTCATGAGACTGTACCGCAAATTGTGTCAGGATGCACACGAGAGTGATGAAGCCATACTTCAACGTACTGGACTTCCTCTACCTGCATCAAGCGGGTTGAAATGCCATGGTTGCCATCAATAAGTAATGAACCCATGATATACCATGATATACCATGATTAACCACACTTAACCATGCTTAACCATGACATTCATCCCATGGTTTTGTCGCATTTCTTTCACCGCCCCCAGTCGTCATCCCCGGCCGTGCCGAGGTTCGAGGTGTGTCCAAAGACAGCTGCGCATCGCCGGTGTCGTTGTCCACGACGGAGGCGCATCCGACGGGGAAAACCCAAGGCGACGCACCCAACAGTTAAGGTCTCAGTTATAAGTTATAAGTACTGAACTAACCCCATTTATAGAATGTATAATCCCATTTATAACCAGTTATATATAACTAATAAATGGCCATAACTGAAGAGAACTCCGTGAATTCAAATTGGTGAACTACTGAGTTCTCTTGGGGAAATCGCGAACTAGTTAATGGGTTTAAACATAAATTTCAGGATATATAGGGATTTATAGGGATCTATGGGGGGTTAATGAACTTGTTTCGCAAAAGTGTCTTTACGTGACTAAGGTAAAAGTTCTCGAAGCTTCCAGCCTTTCGCTGCCGCTATGTCTCAAGCAGCCTTTGCAACGGACATTCTCGGACCAGAGGTTGGTGAACCGGCTTTGACGGTTCCCAAGGAAGCTCCAACGGGACAACTGGCTACCACAGATGCGAAGCCTGAGGAGAGACTATGGTAAATAGCTAGCCCCGGCCGATGACCCTTCCTGTTGTGGAAAACAGATCCGGCTGCTCGTAGCAGCTTCGAAGTCACGTGACTGCATTCGGGTTCGTTGGTGGTTTTTTGTGTTCATGAACCTTTGGATACTAGAAAATTGGGCCTTTGGTTTAGGGATCTTACCCTCTGGTTATGTCAAAATAGCTAGTGGAAATGGCCATAGAAATAGTGGATTCTCCCATTGAAAATGGTGATTTTCCATAGTGTTTTGTAAACGTTTACCAAAGATTGAGCCGAATTCTGTCAATCCGAATCTTGCACGAAGTGCATGAATGGCTAAGTCTTGATGTATAAGATTGAATTGAACAAAGACCAACAGAATGTATCAGAATAATTCTGCAAATATCAATATATATATAATATATATATATATGTAATACACATATATATATATATATGTTCTATATGTATATATATATATAGATACATACGATGATGGGATGTTCAAGGTGTGTCACACAATTGCTCGACTTGTTTGCCTATTGCTGACCATCATGCCGCCAAAATTCGCCCCCTGCCGGAGCCCAAGACCGCCCAGCAACAGCAGCCGCACAGAATAATGAATCTCTACCCTCTAGGTAAATTAACGTAACTATGGAAAATCACCATGTTTAATCGTATATTAGTTGGTATATATCCATCCCCCGAATTTCAGAGACGTAAAGAGGCACACACTTTGTAGCTTAAATTCGTAGGGGGTATATATCCCATGCAATTATATTCCATATATAAAGTTTGGCTAAATCATGTCAAATCTTTCCATCCGAGTCGTAATCTAATATGTTTATCAAATGTGCACTCTGGTGACATTCCCATGAGTAAAGACGCTTAAGCTTTATCGTTTGGGGGACGTGGTCTGCACAATATCAACATGACGAAGAAACAAGAGACACATCCTAGACCTTCCTTTAGGTACAGAAATAAAGTGGGAATAAGCGGAACATTTTTTTCTGTACCAAAGGAAGGTCTAGGATGCATATTTCAACAAACACATCATTGTTTTTACCATCTGGTAAATTAACATAGCTATTGAACATTGCTATTTATAGTGGATTTACCCGTTGAAAATGGTGATTTCTCATAGTTATGTTAGTTTACCAGAGGGTAGTTGGGAAAATCATCGACAATGGATAGATGTTCTTCCTGCCACATTACCGGTCGGAACATATGGAGGTAAAACACCGAGTCTCCTGTAACACAATTCAGGAAAAAAAACCGTTGGAAGGTGATGTGGCCCCTTTATAAGTATTAACTATAGTATTAACCCATATTAACCCACATTAAATCATATTAAATCATCATGTGGCTGGTTCAATTCCATAACGGTCCCCATTCTTTTGGGGGTTTTCAACTTCCGAGCCGAGCGAGCTGCGGCGGTGCCCCCGGCGCCACGTCCAGGATCGCAGCTTCTCGGAGAGTTGCGACTCGCCCGTCTCCCTCTGCGCTACGGAGGCCGGGGTTCACCGCTGGGGGCGCGGAGACGTGACGTGAAGGACCTGTTCAATAAGGATAGTCAACCTAATTAGGTACAGTTAAGGCCCGAAATACCAGTTATGTTTGTACTGAACTAACCCCATTTATAGAATGTATTTCATCCCATAGAAATAACCAGTTATAACTAATAAATGGCCATAACTGCAATTAGGTACACTGATTGGTGGTTTGGAACATGATTTTGTTGGATGATGATCCAATCTGACGAACTCATATTTTTCAGAGGGCTTGAAATTAGCAACCAGAAACGAATGTCTTAAATATGATCAAAAGAATTGAATATTTTCTTAATCAACCCCGAATATTATATAAGATCTATAATGATAGCTATGTGGTAAACCATTAGGTAAATTGTGAAGCAACCCTGAACTGAACTATGTATTAATTGAAGATGGGCAACTATTAGCTGAACTATTAAGACTTGCTTTAATGCTTTCATATGAGATTTAATTGTGGTTATATGGAAAAAAACACGGGGATCTTAATGGGGACATAATTGGATAGTGATGCAACTCACCAAATAGAATATGATATTTAGCCTTTAGCCAACAAAGGCAATGTCAACCCTGGATGAGTGTCCACCCTGAGTATTGATTGAGTGGGTTCCCCTAAAAGCGTTAAGACTCAGTCAAGACTGTTAAGGTACAGTAATGGCCATTTATGAGTTACAACTGGTTATTTCTCACTATGGGATTATAGGTTCTATAAATGGGGTTATAACTACTCATAACAGTTATTTCGAGCCAAAACTGTAGTTTTCAAAATGACTACTAGAGTTTGTACCCCCTCATTTCATAAACCTCAGCAAAATACTGGGTTAGCATTGCTGTGGTAAACCCAACAATATCAGAAAATTAGGTTGGATGGCCTGGCTGCCAGATGGTTAATTAATGGTTGAATGTAGGAAATTATCGGAGTGGAGCTGGGAATATCCAGGAGATCTTAGGAAATGATGGGATAGTAAGAATCTGTTATGGGGTTTCTACATACACACGCGAGGCTCGATCCCAACACAGAAAATGAGTGAAATCTCCAAGAGAATACGTTCAGTGAACAGAGTCTAAGGAGTTCAGTTGGCCTAGCCCAACTGAACATGATGAATATTGATGAACAACTCGTCAAAAACCAGTGATTTTGATGGGTGTCTTTTTACCCGATACGACACGTAAGGACGTAAGGCCAACTGTGGGTCAAATGGGTCAAATCATGGAAATCAACAAAGCGGATTGATCATTGGGTGGTTTCATCCCAGGAAGTGGATAACAGCGAAGGGACAGTAGCCTTATGTTCTCCTAATGATGTTCAACTTGAAAAAAATGCTTAAAACAGGAAAACAAATGGAATAAGCTATGGTCTGGTGAACATAACAGTAGCCCACAGAGATGTGTTTTGTTCAGGTTTTGATGGCTTTGTCGCATGCCCCATTTTGTAAGTTAACTTTTTCTGGATCAACTTGCCACGAAGATAACCCAGATAAGCCACGTGCGGCTATTGAGGGGTTGTTGACACGCATCGATCGTTATGAACAGGGTGAAATTTGAGCCCCGATTGTTGGGGATACCATTGGGGGATCCCCTGACATAATTTCCATGGTAAAATAATGAGGATCGAACACTCCGCAGTGACCCCACGACCGCATACTGACTGCATTACATCGATGATTTCCAAGATGGGTTGGTTCACCAAAAGTCACAGAGTCACAGCATGTAACTCGACCATGTCACATAATGTGAGGTCGTTGTTGTTGCGTGCTTTTAACTCTGCGAAGTCTTCATTTAGGGTTTAGAAAAACATAATGACTGTAGAATGGTGATGTTGGGAAGATGTTGGAGTAAACAGCCTAAACAGCCCAAGTGTCAACGACCAATTGGAGGATCATCCCAGGCTAATAGTAACTGGTTAACAAAGGTTGATAACTCCCCTGACTGAGATCATCCATAATAATCCCATCACTGGCAATGGGTGAAAACGACCGATGTTACAAACCAATGACGATTGAAGGGATGTTCCTTTACCCAGATGCTCGATGTATGGAATATTTACCTACATATGGGCATTTTTTGGGGTAAATGTAGGTAAATATTCCATACATGGAGCATATGGGTTAAGTGTATATATATATATATCATTCCGTTAAACCAAACTCTATCAACTCCCTCTTGCACCCCACTGATAAACCAACGTGAAACATCGTGAAACTACTATGTTGTTAAGTTGTTAATCATATTATATCCCATTAGTTCCATTAAATGTGGGCTGGTGAATCAAATTAAATCCCACTATCTCCCCATATTAATAGTGTATATCTATCTACTATATCCCAATAAACTTCTTAATTCCATCAAACCCCATAGAATCCCATTGAAACCATTCAAATTCCTATAAAACACCACATTAAAACCATTTAAGATCCTTTCTTAAATCCCACTGAAACCATCTAAAGTCCTGTGAAATCCCATGAGATCCATGATTCCCACAAACGAACCATGGATTTTCACATCCCACTAGGGAGCCAGCCGCGCGCTTGAGGAAAACATGGAAACTGTCTCAGAGGAAGTTTCACCCAGTGACCCAGCGATGGTAGGGGTATTGGAGCAGATATCCCATGGTTTATGGGGAATTTTTGCTGGTCATGGTGGTTTAACGGAATTTATCGTGGATTTGATGGGGTTCAATTGGGATTTCAGTGGAATTTCATGGGTATACGTATGAATTCATTGGGATTTAATGGGATCTGGGATTTCATAGGGATTGGCTTGGGTTTTATTTGGATTTCATGGTGGTTTTATGGGATTTCATGAAATATTATGCAGTGGGGGAAACAGGGATACGTAAAAATTGGAGTTTAAATTACAAATTGATGATTGAGCATCTTTTCTTTGAGGTACCCTATCTTCAGACAAGCCTGTAGATGGTAACCTCAAAAAGAAGCAACACTTGGACACGTGGATTTTACAAATATTGAAATGAACTATACCTACAAAGTGCGACCCCCATTTATCATTAAGCCTTAAGCTGGTGGAAAAAAAACATCAGCGCTTTTTCAACCGCAGATATAAACCCACCACAGATCCGAAAAACAAGTCCTAGTTATTGGAGTTATAAACAAACTTCTGTATCATAAACCAAGTACAATGTGGGGCCCGCAGTTGTGTTTGTTGGTCTCTAACCCCATGAATGCTGTAGTTATAAGTACATATACCTTAATAGTTATTGGAAACTTAGCCAACAAAAAATATAATGAAATCCCATGAATTCCCATTAGTTCCATGAAAAAACACATGTTTTCCTAACTATTTGTTTGCCACACCTGACATAGATCCACATCTTTAAGGTTACCTCCCAAAGTTCATGGTTGGAGACCCCAAAACAAGAATTAAAATCCTGTCACCCTCTGGTAAACAAACATAGCCATGGAAAATCATCATTTTTAATAGGTAAACCATCTATTTCTATGGGCAATCTATACCATGGCTATGTTAAATAACCAAAGGGTAGTATCAGAAAAATTGAATGGTATTGGTGACTATCACCTAAGTAGTATATTAATAGATTATCCAGTATCCAAGATCAATATCAATGGATTGGTTTAAGGGAAAATTTACAGGAAAGCCCTATATTTCATGGGAAAATCTATGGTTTCCTGTAGATTTTCCCTTGAATCAATCCATTGACAATATCACCCAAATGAATGATAAAGGAGAGCATGTGAGGTGCCAGTGGCAGTCTCATCAACAACCTGAGGATTGGATCGAATTAGGCGATGGCTATACAGTTATGGCCCCAAATACCAGTTATAAGTTACAAGTACTGAACTAACCCCATTTATAGAATGTATAATCCCATAGAAGTAACCAGTTATAACTAATAAATAAATGGCCACAACTGTAGGGATGATACATGATGATACCCAGACTCAGGTTGATCTCAGTATACTTAGGACTGGAAAATTTCCAGGGCCGAATCCTTGGATGCGCGTCCGTGCCTCCCACGTTGGATCCGTGTATTTCATAAGCCCATCTGGTTGGTGGTGACTGGAACGTTGGTGAAATGCATGGGGTAATGATGGTTAATCATGGTTAATAATGGTTAATAATGGTTAATAATCGCTGGTTGGTGGTTTGGAACATGGCTTTTATTGTTCCATTTCATATATATATATATACATATACATATATATGGGAATGTCATAATCCCAACTGTAACTCACTCATCATTTTTCAGAGGGGTAGGTTGAAACCACCAAGCAGATGATACATTAATCATTCCATTAATCATCCCATAATCCTTTTATAATCCCTATATAAACCTTATATAAGCCATCATCACCCAGTTAAATGAGTGGTCATATTGTCATAGAAGCACCACTATTGAATTTATAGTGTAACAAATTTTATACTATTGTCTAATGTGTTACACTATTGTCTAATTGAAGACAATCCACTTAACAAATTTATAGTGTTTCAATATGTTACATTAATCATTCCATTAATCATCCCATAATCATCCATAATCCTTGTATAATCCCTATATAAACCCAGTTAAATGAGTGGAAGATAGCCCACATTTTTTTGAATTGTCATAGATGGTTCCAGTCACGACTTCCGATTCCCAAGATGCACCCCCCAGGGACACGAAAAATTGGTAACCAGGAAAGATAGGGAAATTAATGTCCACAGATGGATGAGTTGTTTTTAAAAATCAGATTACATATCATATTATATATCATATATATTATATATTATATATTATATATTATATGTTATATATTATATTATATATTATATATTAGTATATATATATATATTATATTTTATGTATTATACATTATATATTATTTATTATTTATTATACATTATATATTAAATTATAAGTTGTAACTAGGGGTCCTTCCTGTTTCTTCCAAAGTTCAAGCGTATCCATTTGCAAAGACATGACCCATATGGTCCCCTAGCCGTGGCCATCGTCGCATTGAGGAACTTCAGGGACCGACGGCAGGAGAACAGGGGCGTTTTGTGGACAGATCAACAGATCGGGTACCCATTAACGGCATAGGATGGCATAGGTACACAATGCTATCAATGGGAATCAGTGATATAGTTCTGGGTATATGATAATACCTATGGTTTATAGGTGATATCTATAATTCTATAGTTTTTTGGGGGTTTATAAACCAATGGTTATACTGTATCAATGGGAATTTCAGGATCCTAAATTGGAGGTACCTACCATATATAAGGCCTATGGTTCAGGCCTATGTAAGGGGATATACCCTCAAAATATGGCCTTATATGGTACAGTACCTCCATTTTAGGATCCTGGAATTCCCATTGATGCTACACATCCCCCATAGTTTCACTAGTTGACCAAGTTATGTGCATCAACTCAGCTATCTGTTGGAGTCCTCCCCTTGTAGCAAAGTAAGCTTCAGAGCTAGGGTGAACTGACCGATGTCCCCATCAGGATAGATGCTAGAAGAGTGATATTGCAGCACAATACTTCAACATCAGGACTTAACGATTTAACGACTGTACAGCTAGTGACTAAGTGGGTCAAACGAGCTGATCATGACTGTGGCAGTAGCAATGTATAGAGTACACCCTCTGAAGTGCATTGCAATGTTGCTTCCATTATATGTTTGCCTGTTTTCTTTCGCAGTTTTTGCAGAGAACATGTGGAACTGTCAAGAGAGGTTTCAATGTCATGATTTCACAAAGAGACCCATTCTGAATTGTATGATATCATATGTATATTGTGCGTGTGTATTTCTATATCATTTACTACCACAAATTTATTTGGGTGTAACGTTATCGCAACCCCCACCTTTTCCAACCCCAGACAGAGGATTTAGAATTGCTACAACTGGTAAGTGGATTGCAACCCCATGGAACAATCGGATAGGTTCGGTCCATGTCCCGTACAATGGGAGTTTTGAACATCGCTTAAGAAAAAGTATAGTGCTATGTGATGCCCCCCCAGTTATAAATGGGTTTATAAACCTCATGAATACCATAGTTTTTTGCGTATCATGAACCATAGTTATTGGAGATATGTTCACCAACTTAGCTATCGTAAACGGGGGCCCCACTTTGTAAGGGTTTGTTGGAGATTATACCCCCATTTTTGTTGGGTGCTCAAGAAATCGGACATTTACCAACCTTTGCGAGCCAGTTTGACTAGTGGTTTTTACTCATGGGTTACAATGCGGTGCCACCCAGTTATGTTTATTGGTTTATAAACCCCATGAATATCATATCTGGTTGGTGGTTTGGCAGTTTGGAACATGAATTTTATTTTCCATATGGGATAATCATCATCCCATTGACGAACTCATATTTTTCAGAGGGGTGGCTCAACCAACCAGATATAGTTATTTGCGTATCATAAAAAGCATAGTTATTGGAGTTATTAACCAACTTAGCTATCTATAAATCAGGTATGAATCTCATTAAACCCACATTTTCCTATGGTTCTTGGAGTTATGTGGCCCCCAAGAGAGAACGCGATTCCGAAAACGGGGACCTCGGCCATTCATCCAACGCTTCAACGATTCCCAGACCACCCCGAAAGTCCATTGAACCCATCCGTGTATCCGTTGGGCAGCCCCCGTGGAAGTTGCCAGATGTCCCAAATTCCCACTGGTTGATTGATAGAAGGGTTTGTTTACCCTTTGAACCACAGGTTTCTATGATGATAGATTTGATAGATGGTATACCAGCTCCCGGCCCCGCTACCTATTTCTACCAAAAGGACATGATTGCATGGAAGTATTACTTACCTGGCTCAATGGATTGGTTTTAAGGGGAAAAATGACAGGTTTAAGCCCATTATTTAATGGGAACATCGATGGTTTCCGGTTTCGGTTTTCCCAACAACACCAATCCATTGACTTGCATCTAAGGCGTACTTGGCAGTTAAATTGGGGACCAAGTGTGCACATCATTAGCCAAAGCCACACGGGTATTGATGGTTAAACCATGCTGAACTCTCACTTGAGTTGGGTGATCCACTTTCTCCCCCAAATCAATGGGAATTTCAGGATCCTAAAATGGAGGTACGTCAGTACAATATTTTGGGCCATATTTTGTGGGGATATTCCCTGAAATTTAGGCCTGATATAGGCCTTACATATGGTAGGTACCTCCAATTTAGGATCCTGAAATTCCCATTGACAAAAAAACATGTTGGATTTGTGTTGATTCGAAGCCAATGTATTTCTTTTTGATACATCCATTTTTGTTAACTACAATGTTTTTTGTTGGACGATGTAGTACCCCAAAAAAAATAATCACCAATGATGTCAATATTTGTTTTCCCACCTGCCAGGTGAGGGTTGTTAGATTTTATCAGAGCTGTTCTCCTCCTCCTCCGCCTCCTCCTCCATCTCCTCCTCGTCCTCCTCCTCGCAGTCCAGATCCCAGTGGGCACAGCCGGACCTCCACCGCGAGCTCCAGATCCCAGTGGGCACTGCCGGACCTCAACTGCGAGTTGCAGATCGCAGTGGGCACTGCCGGACCTCAACCGCGACTTCCAGGTCGCAGTGGGCACTGCCGGACCTCAACCGCGAGCTCCAGATTTTAGTGGGCACTGCCGGACCTCAACCGCGACTTCCAGATCGCAGTGGGCACTGCCGGACCTCAACGGGAAGAAAAGATGTCAGATAGAATGTCAGAAGATATGCCAGATAGAATGCCCGAAAGAATGTCAGAAGATATGCCAGACAGAATGTCAGAAGATATGCCAGAGAGAATGTCAGAAGATATGTCAGATAGAATGTCAGAAGATATGCCAGAAAGAATGTCAGAAGATATGTAAGATAGAATGTCAGAAGATATGCCAGATAGAATGTCAGATAGAATGCCGGAAGATATGCCAGATAGATTGCCAGAAGATACGCCAGAAGATATGCCAGATCATATGCCAGAAGATATGCCAGATAGAATGCCAGATAGAATGCCAGAAGATAAGTCAGATAGAATGTCAGAAGATATGCCAGACAGAATGTCAGAAGATATGCCAGAAAGAATGTCAGAAGATATGTAAGATAGAATGTCAGAAGATATGCCAGATAGAATGTCAGATAGAATGCCGGAAGATATGCCAGATAGATTGCCAGAAGATTTGCCAGATAGAATGCCAGAAGATATGCCAGAAGATATGCCAGAACATATGCCAGAAGATATGCCAGATAGAATGTCAGATAGAATGCCAGAAGATATGTCAGATAGAATGCCAGAAGATTTGCCAGTAAGAAAATGTATAAATGCCATGGTGGGGATCATTCGAAGTGAAGTAATTGTTTTTTTAATGATGTATTTTTGGAGTATTGCCCTTTTTTCAGACACACTGACCCATGTTTCATTTGGGGGGGCTGCTAATTTTTACCGTAATTCATCAGGGTTTTTCCGCATCAAAGATATTCCAAAAGTTTACATTCATGGTATTCCAATAGTTTTTTTCCAATAGGTTGTCAGATTAGATATGTGATATTCAATTTACCCTATGGTTATTTAACATAGCCATGGAAAATGGCCCATTTATAGTTGGTTTACCTATTAAGAATGGTGGATCTGTCCATGGCTATGTTAAATAACCAGAGGGTAATGGTTGGTGTTTTACCACTGTCCCATTCCAATTCGCCTTCGCGAACAACCGCCCATTCTTTTCCCTGGGTCCAGGAGATTGTTGTCGAAAGGGCCCAAAGGTGCCACAACATGACGCGAACAGCCCGTGGTGGATCCCTGAAGACTTTCGTTTTTGATGGTAAAACCACCATTTCTGTTGGAATCCTACTATTATTCAAATCCTTTATAGATATACAGATGGAAAGTCAACCGCTTTCACAACCGCAGAAACCATGAATAGATACGTATGGAAAACCAACTAGTACTTTTCTATAGCTATGTTTGATTTTCCCGTTTGGTTTTGTCAGCGGGAGCAGTGAAGACATCAGATGGAGAAATTTTGGTGGCAGCCGTGGTGGTTGTGGCACTAGGAGTTCGGGCAACAGCTGGCGATCCCCTCACTGTGCGGATCATTTCGTACATGATAAACCTTTTGCTCCTGGGTGCTGCCACAGTGCAGCTAGACTCAGGTCGACGCATGGGCACGGCAGCAATTCTCGTGCATGGGGTTGTGAGTCTTCTGGATCATCCCTATGGGTATATGGCTGACGAGGTGCGATCGGTGCACTTTACTTTTACTTCGTCAGCAGCTGCGGCTCTAAACACTGAGTTCCTTGCAGCTGTCGCACCAGCCACCTACCTGACTTTTCTTGCCAGGATGGACGTCTTAGCAAAAATAACCATGGCCTTTCTCTCTGTGCTGAATTTAGAACATCAAAAAAGTGCCCTAAAGATGACCCTAAGATTTCAATCATATTTGGGATACTGGTCTTGAAAAATTCGGGTAATTCAGCATAACTGTAGAACATTGCCCATGCATTATACTATATATACTCCATTTTCCATTATATTTTGTCTGTGTACTCCATATTCCATCTACTCCATGAATATATCATTTATATATACTTTTGATAGATAGAATATCTGGTTGGTGGTTTGGAACATTTCTTTCCATATATATTGGGAATGTCATCATCCCAACTGACGAACTCATATTTTTCAGAGGGGTAGGTCAACCACCAACCAGATATAGATCAATGGGAATTCCAGGATCCTAAAATGGAGGTACTGTACCAGATAAGGCCATATTTTGTGGGGATATTCCCTCACATAGGCCTTACATAGGCCTTATATACAGTATGTACCTCCAATTTAGGATCCTGAAATGGCCATCGATATAGATTATGATTGATTATAATTTGCAATATATTCCATGACCATACGCGATGGGTCAAACCTATTATTAGCATAGGGGAATAAACATCCATCAGCTAGGGTCCCAAGTTTTGACTCATACTCCCTATATTGTTCCATGTAAATATAATGTATCATGGATTATCCTTACATTTAGATTATGATTATGATTAAATAGTTTGAATAGATTATAGATAACGATATATTAGGATTATGGATTATATACAATGATACATATTAGAATTATTTGAAACCTCCATGGTTTTATCCCATGATTCAAGTATATTATATTATAAAATTTAGCCAGAAGGATATGCATATATTGTCCTATGTGACTATAAAACTGTGAAGGATATGAATATATTTTAATCTTACGTAAAATTATGATAGATTATTATTATACTACGGTTCATATATACATATTATATACATATTATATAATATTGTGGATCAATCAGATTGGGATTATCATGATAGATGATACGTATTCTATTTAAATCCTCCATGGGTTTTATAGTCCCAGCCTCGTTGAAGTTCGGCAGGTTCTCAGCGACTCCATTCAGCGAACTCCTCGAAATGGCCAAGCCGTTTAGTGCGGCGGCCTAGGCAGAAAACCATTCGCGTTTCACGAAGGACATAAAGAGATTTCATTGGTTTTAATGGGCATTTAATAGGCATTTAATATAGGATTTGAGGGTTTTTAATGGGATTGAGTGGGAATTGGCCATGAACTTTAGGAGATGAAAATGGGATTTCAATTGGATTTAATGGGTTTTAATGGGATCTAAGCAATAGAAATGCTAGCATATTTTGATTTAATGGCTTTTAATGGGCACAGTTATCCCCAGAAAGGTCGAAAAGTAAATCACTAGTGAAATAGTGACATATGTTTTCTTGTCTCATGTGTCTTGTCATGTCTTGTCTCTCTTTCCCGGGATGACACTATGATGTGAAAAGTGATGTGATTCAACGTGATTTTTATGGTCTACAAGAACATTTACATTCACTTCCAGGATCATGTGCATATATATGTTATATATATACAATGTGAGGCCCCCCAGTTATGTTTGTTGGTTAACAAAAGCCCCAGTAACTATAGTTATAAGTACCATAAACCATAGTTATTGGAGTTATAAACATACTTAGATATCTTGGGGGCCTCACATTGTATATATATATATGGGTAAATTTCATCACGCCCTCACTGTTTTCCCGAAGCCTGGAATCATGGTTTAGAGGGGAATCATCCCAAATGGCCGCAAGTTTTGTCGGTGAACGTGAATTATTTACTATAATTTGCCCAGAATAATAAACCATCACCAAAATATTGGGGGTATATCCCCTTACATAGGCCTTACATAGGTTTTATATATGATAGGTACCTCCAATTTGGGTTCCTGGAATGGCCATTGACATGTGGGTAAACCAATAATAAAGCATCACCAAAATCACCATAAATGGATGCTATGAACTATCAATCCATTTGGGTGGTTTATTGTTGCTTTAGCCACATTACTATGGTCAAGGTTGGCCAGATATTTCCAAATAGTTTCATTTAAATAGGGCAAACTTTCCCATTATGGCCCTAATAGTATCCCCTTATAGTTTCATTTAATACGGCCCATGGTTAGTGAATTACTATAATTTGCTTGCTATTCTTTGCGGCATCATGTTTCCAGACTCCGGGATGATTCGACGTGGTGTTACAGTCAAGATATCTTCCTTCGCTACTTCTGCAGTAGGCAGGAACCACCCCAGCAGATTGACTACAGAGCGTGCGAAAATTACGCATGAGGCCTCCTTGAATGACGACAACGCGGGTCTGGCCGCCACTGTCATAGCATCATATAAGATCACTTACACAACACAATCAGGCATATATTATCCAGATGCACCGTTTGGCAGCTGGCTTCACCAACGGCCAGAGTGTTCCGTCCGGATCCTGGATGATCTGGATGGACACAGTCCACCGTGAGGAGGTTCTGGGTGACGGCCTGTTTCGTCCATCTCAGTTCCCATCAATAGATCCAGATGAAGCACAAACCATTGCTTACATTTATACCCCAGATGCAGCTGGAGGCGGAGATCAAGTGCCAATCCGCATGCAACGACTCATCAATCCAGAAACTCCGCAGGTTTATGAGGATGGAAATCAAGCGAATGAATACTATAATTTGCCCAGATATATAATATCTATAGATGTCCGTCTTTGAGGATCAGATCATCCCACGAACAAGTTAAATACCCTGGCGCTTAGTAAGTCTCCGATTCATGGGCTATTCCATTTATAACTGCAAGGTGGTGCCCCCCACTTATAAGTTGGTTTATAAACCATAGTAAGTATAGATATATCACATAAATAAACTAATTATAAACCATAGTTATTGGAGTTATGTTCACCAACTTAGCTATCGAACGGTGGCACAACCTTGTGGGTTATAACCCTATCAGTTACATCCACTGTGGTGATCCTGCAAGTAGGGACATTTCATGGGCTTTGTAACGAAATTTCATGGGCTAATGATTTACCTATAAAGAATGTAGATTGTTCCATAGTTTTTTGTATGTTTACCAGAGGGTAGGGATTAAATGGGATATTTTTAGGGAATCTTAATCATTACAAGTAATGTCAACCCTGGGACAATAAACCCCAAACGGTTGTTTAATTGGGCTGGTACCATTTAAGTACTAGATAATAGCTATTGGAGGAGTACCCCCTAATTAATAAACCATGGTTTATTAATCCGGGGAAGGCTTTGTTGGTTTGCCCATCAGCAACTGGTTCGTGGTTTGGAACATGAATTTTATTTTCCATTTCATATATGGGATAATCCCAACCCCATTGACTCATATTTTTCAAGATGGTTAAAACCACCAACCAGGCAAAGTTCGTCTGTCAATGCTGACGAAGCGGCAAGTTTTGATATGCTCTGCCCCGGACTTCCCACGTCTGACTTTGAAGCAATGGGTTTTCTGGGGATCTTGATAGCGAATGTCTTGGAGCTGGCAAAATGCAAAATGGAGAGCTACCCTCGTCTAATCAAGCGCGGCAATGGAAAATCCACTATTCATAGATGACTTGCCTGTTAAAGTCTTTGTTGATAAAGGGATTTCCGATTACCACGTTTGATTACCAGGTTTGATTACCGGAGGGTAGGATGAACTGAAAAATATAACCATATCTACAATCCTTAGATAAGTTAGCTACTATGATTAGCCAATAGTTAATTTTCCTCTAGCTGAGGATTATAGTTTTAGTATGTTTTAGTCAAGTTATAATAGTTATATTATATACTCTTATATATATATATAAGTTATACATACTATAGGATACTTTAAGTAGCTTCGAACCACCATATTGAAAAAACAAGTAGACTAACTATAGTCAATCTATGACTATGCTTCCCTAAAAAACGTTTCCGTGTATCAATTACATTTCCCCTAAGGTTCTTGTTGGATATTTTCCCCTGACGTGCTTGATGGATACGGCAAGTTCAAGTGAGCAGTGTTCAAACAACCTTTTGGTTGATGATTACCTTTGCGATTATACTCCTGTATCATATATGTTGATGATGTTCATCTTCCGTGCTAGGGAAACCCGTCCTTAACCAACTAGTAGAAGCCACTATGACATAACATATGCTCTACAGTGAAGACTTACTCTCTGGTAATTTAACGTAGCTATTGAAATTGCCATTTATAGTTGATTTACCCATTAAAAATTGTGATTTTCCATAGTTATGTTCACCACAGGGTATGGGTCAAAACGCGGGTACTCTAGGTACACGAAACTAGCTGGTCAATGTTAAAATGGATGGTCATTCCCCCAAATATGGTAGTAATATGGGTGGGTGTTGACCCATCCCAATATTGTTGCCCGGACTCTCCCTGCTTTTCTCCAGGAACCTATCGATCAGGCGGGGCCGGCAACATGTTGCTAAATCGGGTGAACTTGGCAGTGCAGTTCTATTTATAAGTGGATAGATGTGGATACAGGATGGCCCCCCCCCAGTTATAAGTTGGTTATACACTATACACCCCATTAACTGTAGTTATAGATTCCCCAATAAATGGTGGATTTGCCATTGGGAAAATAAAAACAAACCCTGGATCATCATTTCTAATTCCATTATTTCACCATATTTAAGTTTCATGCAAAATTCTGTATATTATTAATTTCCATTGGGAAATCACCTTATCCACAACTGGTTGGTGGTTTCAACCCAATGATTATGCCATGATTTCCTGATGCGTGTTCACCTCGCTGTGACGTCACGGAAGGAATGGTGAATTTATGGAATCATCACCCAATTTGTTTCCAAGTTCCACCTATTTTCAGGTGAGTGAACTATGATGATGCAGCCAAATTCAGAGAAAACCGCTTGATGATCCCATTAAATGATATTAGATCCACTTAAGACCCTTGAAATAACAACTAAATGATTTAATATCTTAGTCCGCAGGGAAATGTAGCAATTCCAAAATGGATTGCCTTGAATAATCCCTTAAAATGTAGCAATTCCATTTTTACATGTTCTCAGAGATTATCCCATGAGAAATAAACATCTAATTGTTTTAAATGGAATTCCTTTGAATAATCCCTTGAATAATCCCTTCAAATGTTCTAAATTACCCTCTGGTAAACTAACATAAGCATGGAAAATCCCAATTTTTTTATGGGAAAACTCACTATAAATGCCCATTTTCCAGTTCGCAAACGCTTAGTTTACCAGGCCGGGTATTCCATCTTAATCCGCAGAGTTTCGCGCAACTTCTCCCATGATTTCCTCATGCATCATCCCGAGGATCCCCAGGCCCAAACCCTGTCAGGATCGAAGGGGAACCAGCACCATGGAGCAGAGGTGAATTTCACCATTCGATGTGGTGGATTTATATGGGATTTCATTGGATTTATATGGGATTTGAATGGGATTTGATGTGATTTATATAGGATTTAATGGGATTTAACGGGATTTATTTAACGGGATTTATCTGGGTTTAATGGGATTTATATAGGATTTAATGGGATCTTTATAGGATTTAACGGCTTTGAAAGGGATTTAATGGGATTGAACAAGCTATAGCCCCACCTCGTAGTTGTTTGCCATGCCGGATCGCTTGGCAACTTCATATGGTTGCTTCCACAAATCAGAAAAAAAACATTGTGGTTTAACTGTTGGGTTGATGAAATTACCATAATCTGGTTGGTGGTGACTGGAACCATGGAAGTTTATGACTTTCCAGAAACAGTTGGGAATGTCATCATCCCAACTGACGAAGTCATATTTTTCAGGGGGGTTGAAACCACCAACCAGGATTTGTTTGTTGTAAATTCCTAGTTGTAAGTTTGTATGTTTGGGAAAATCAACTATAAATGGAGGATTGTAAATCCCTCTAGTTTCCCTAGTTGTAAATCCCTAGTTTCCCTAGTTTGAAATGCCAATCTATAAATGGAGGATTGAAAAAAATACCATGTTTGATGACCGGGTAACTGCTACCTGGACAGTAGATGGTGTTTTCTGGTGACACCTCCTCGCGACTATGCATATGATATGTCTACCTAGACCCTCCAAGTACCTATAAAATTGATTACCCTCTTAGTAAGC